GCGTTTGTGAGTTATTAAATTAGTAATAAAGTTGTTCCTCTTCTCGTGGCTGCAGCTATCGTGATTGAAAGCATCAACGAGCAAGTCTAACGGATGATTTTCTCCTCAAGTAAAACCTAACAAACAGGAAATGGAAAAAAAACAGCAGTAACCAACGTGTTACCCCCAGGGGAGCATTGGGCGTCTACCAGTATCCTCCAACGCACACGGTTTTCTTTGCCAATGCTTTGGCTCTCTCCCAGCAGTAGCCCACTCTTTTCAACTCCATCAGCAACGACCGCTTCCAGTTGTTCCTTGGCAGTCTAACTATCCTCTTTCCCTGTGGCTGATAGTTCAAGGCTTGTCTTGCAACATTGTTGCTATCTCTTTTGAGCGTATGGCCGATCCAACGGCAACGCCACGCTATCGTTTCCATGTTCGTCCTTCTTAGTAGTTCTTCATTGCTGATTACGTTTTGCCACCAGACTCCCAAGATGTATCGGAGACATTTGTTGACAAACACTTGAAGCTTTTAACGTAGGGCCTTAGTTGAACGCCAGGGTTTACAGCCATATAAAGGAACGAACTTAACATTGGTGGAAAATATCCCAGTTAGCTTGCCGTTTAGACTGAGCTGCCTGGAGAGCCACACTGGTTGTAAAGCCCTAAATGCATACCTGGCCTTGCCAATCCTAACACTAATATCCTTATCTGCTCCGCCATCTGTGATGATGACACTGCCCAGATAACAAAATTCTTCTACTGTTTCAATGTCTTCACCTCCAAGCGATATAGGACTGTTCACTTAACCGTTAACCTTTTGGCCCCGGTAGTTCGAAAGGTGAATAATGCTATTCACTGGATAAATCCCTCTTCAGCGGAAAGCGTGGTCTGTTTTGTTAACACTTATCCACTGGATAGCGATTTATCCGGTGGATAGCGTCATCCACCTTTCGAACAACTGAGGCCAGTACTTTGGTCTTTGGGATGTTGACATTCATTCCCAATCTGCTGGTATTTACCTGGCACTTTTCTGTTTTCCTTTGCCTCTGGTTGTGCGTTGCAGATAGTTTAAAAACACACATCATCAGCAAAATCTAAATCCTCGAGTTGTTCACTGAGGTCCACTGGATCCGAGTCCTTTTGTTTATCACAGTTTTTCATGTTATTCAGTCAGTTATCACCAAAAATAGAAGTGGAGGTGGTAAACAGCCCTGTCGTACTCCAGTTCGAATGTCAAATGACTTAAACCGCTTGTTGTTGTCTCCAACTTGTACTGGAAAGTTGTTGTATATTCCTTTAATAACACTTACTACCTTGGCTGGTACCCCGCCCATAATGTCGCAGAAGCCTCCAAAGCCCTTCCTTATAACTTATCAACACTATCAAAGGCCTTTGCAAAATCCAGAAAGTTTAGATACAGCGTGCTTTGCCATTCGATGGACTGTTCGACAATTAACCTCAAAGTTGTTATCTGATCCATGCAAGACCTCCCAGGTCTAAAGCCAGGCTGTTTTTCCTCAACTTTGCATCCAGTGCAATCTTTAACCTTTCTAATATGATCCAAGCTAGTATCTTGCTTGAAACAGATAGTAGCATAATACATCTGCAATTTCCACAATGGCTGA